ATGAGGTCAGGTCGGCCACGTGACCTCACCATTAGGTATAAGTCAATGGGGAAAAATGAAAACTGCTATGTTAGCGCCGAGAACTATCTCAAACTGTCTCCAGCACATGGAATCGTGATTTCTTGCACGTCTTGCAAGGTCCGATGCTTCACTTTTGCATTGTTGACATTGCGTGGCGTCATTTATGGTCACTTGGGTCATTGATTAAAGAAAGCGCGGTTTTGAGGCTCATGATTACATATATAACTGCAATGAAAACCGTAAGACGGTTTCACAAAAGTCAGTTTGTCAGTTTGGCCAACATGTCTTATTTTCTTGGCCCTATTTTGAATATAATTATTAGCATGAGGCTTACGGTTTTCATTGCAGTTACATACTTGGGTCATTAGAGTTTTTCATCAATAACTCCCCATCAAATTGAGTTAGCGAGTCGGGAAAGCCACCAATAAACTCAGGAAGACCTGCCGATTCGAGTAATATGTAACATGAACTCTTTCAACCAGCTTCGTGATCTGGGGGAGCTGACCTGCCCTTGACCCGAGGTCAACACCTCAAGTTGACCTCACCCGAACAAAAAGTATACCATTCGACGCGCCTGAGCGAGGCGAACACGATGATGCCAAAATAGCGGCTCTCCGACCGTTTTTTTTGCGAAGTTATGGAAAACTGAACTCTGGCTCTTGGTCACTTGACCTGACCTCATGAGACCTTAAAATCGGGGACCAGTCCCTGCGTCTTGTAACGGCGCACACGCTTGTTTTTTCCGCGACGCTCTAGCTTCATCAGGGGCGAAACGGCGAGGGAAAACGTGCCAACCCCCTCCCCCCCGGCCGGCGCGTATGTAGAAAACCAATAGGTCCGGCGAGGGTTAATGTATCATTGAATGGGAACATGTTACATATGTATATTTGAGCTTGCACCGTGCTCAGAAAGGTTCAGAGCAGCCGTTTTCACGACGGTTGACCGAAAGCGCCAAACTTGACCAAATCTCAAGGAACCTACCCTGAAAATTCCATGAACCTGACCCAAATGACCTTAGACCTGTAACCTTTTTTTGGGGGGGGGGACCATGTCAGGGGGGCCATAAAACATGCATCGCACAACCCTAGTAAATAGTAAAGTTGGTTCATGTGCTGACCCTTGGTGACCTGACCTGTGACCTGACATGGTATTATCAGTGACCTCTAATAGCAACATATGTATATACTAGGCAACGTACGCCCTATTTTTAACGTACGCGAAACATTTTATCCTTGACCTGACCTGTGACGTCATCGGTGACCTCGAGGTCAATGAAATTGGAGTTCCGTCGACAAATTTGACAGGGCTATCGAACATCGGTTGAATGTTACGGATCCGTCCAGTAGTTTCGGAGATACGGGAGGGGGGCAAAAAAATGCCCCCCCCCCCACCGCGCGGAAGGTGGCCGGGAGGTCCACCGCCTGCCGGGTTGATGAGAGCCTGAATGAGAGAGAATGTTTTTAGGCGAGCTTTTAAGGAATTCAATAAAAACACAAAATAAAATCATGCTACAAATTTCATTGCTTACCTCAGGAATGAAATCAGCCAGGAAAGAACAGCAATATTTTTAACCAGTAAAACGCCCTTTGGGGCGACCAACGGAGCGAGCGAGAGGGTGGGCCTTGGACAAGCGAATTTGCAAGGGACACCTCCAACTAACTTGTGCACTGCACCCTACTAACCGGTCCCTAGCGATGTGCCAAATTTGAGCGCAATCGGCCTAGCCGTTCTCGAGATCTGGAAGCGGCACCCTGCACGTGCACACGTGCAAAATGGGTCACAACTGACTTTTGCACGGCACCCTACTAACTGGTCCCTAACCATGTACCAAATTTCAGCACAATCGGTTCAGCCGTTCTCGAGATTTGGAATCGCCCCCTGCACGTGCGCACGTGCAGCAGCACCCCAACTGTGGCACATGGATATGCATTGCCTAGTGGGTGCCTACCTACATACCAACTTTCAGCGCAATCGGCCAAGTAGTTACCAAGATATTGCAACAATTGCAAAACTGACACCTCTTCGTTTTGCACGTGGCACGTGCATAAGCGGTCACCCACATGCATCGAGAATAGTCCAATACTTGGTAGAAGGAATGAAGCTACCCTAGAAAAATCATCGAATGTAAATCGGTCAAGTGGTTGCTGAGATATAAGCCTCGCAAAAGCGTAACCACGGCCGGCCGGCCGCTCATACTCAGAAATTTCCGTTAATCTACGAAAGACTACGCTTGCTTCGCTCGCTACGTAATAATTTCTTCAGACTAACAATGCCTCAGCCATATTGGCACGCTACTGGCTGAAAATAAGTTGCTTAAAAAGACCCACTGAATCGCCACGATTTTAAGTGCATGTCATCTCTATGTATATAAGATCTCTATGGTAATGACAACTGTCCGTATAGCGGCGTGCAATACCCAGTTAAAGAGCAAGGTAGCCGCCCAGCACGCAAAGCAAGATGTGAAGATTAGGGAGATATGATCGGATTTGCGCAGAAGGTGAGATCTGATTGAAATATTGATCAAGTAACGCTCAGAAAAGAATATTTTATTTACTTCTTGATTGTTCAATTTTATGTTACCTCTAAACCTTGATAGGTGACAACTGGCAACATGTGTACAGCGGGTTCGGCATGCACAATGATTGTAAATTGTTGACCAGACTGATTAGCCAAATCAACCTGATTTCTTCCAAATACTTTCTGCCTGAGTAGGCTAATACCTCTGAATCCTAAAGGTGCTGGGATGCTGAAAATAAAATTTTAGGGCTCACTGGAGCTTCCTGGTGCTCCGGGGGGTGCTGGAACTTGCCCTGAGAAAACCCAACAGCACCTTATTTTGGTATTTGTATGCTTCCTACAAAGAGTAAGAAATAAGAAAAAGAGCATTCACAGGGGGCAGAAGCAAGACACTGTATCTATTTTTGAGCGTGCAGCAAACTAAATCAAAACATTTAAAGCTCACTTTGAGAAAAGATAGAAAATGGTAGTGGAAAGTTCTGTCCAGAATTTCTATGTAAAATCATTTTCTTTAGCAGAAATGATGTGAGGAACATTTGTGGCAATGTAGTTAATAAGAGTTTCTCGTAATATCTGGTATGTAGCAGATTCAGCATTTTTCCCAGCCCTGGCGGTCCCCTGTTACGTTTGGCGACCTTTGTTTCACGCGTTCCGTGTTGTGTTTCCGTCACCAGAAGCTGCCGGTGCCTGCTTCCTTCGCATGCATTACTTGTTTTTAGCTTTTTACCATGTTTGCTACAAGCCTCAGTTAGTTCTCAAACATTGTTCAGTCCCCTGTCACAGACGTAACAAGACTAACTATTAGTTGCTCTCCTCTCAAACTGACTGCGCCAGTCTCAGTGGACCGACAAAGTTCTGAAAGGATGAAACTCGCCCGTCAGCGAGACTGCCGAATCTCATTTCCAATGCAGGGCTGCGAGTGCAGCGCCCGCCGACATTTGTGAAATTGTCATAGGCTGTCAGCCGACCCGCGAAGGGCGCCGGGTGGGATTTTAACCACTCAATACAGGCGATTACTCGTCTGTCGTGCGACTTTGATAGTCGCTCAACAGGCGAGCGACGTCGGTGCAGCGGACTGGACGCTGCGCCAGTTCTGCTTACACTGGAACATTTGGAGCTCAAATACACCGTTCGCAGTTGCCTGATCGAAGGGAACATTCAAACGTGCCAACTTTGGTAATTCCAGTACCAACGTAAAACGTATTCAATGATCTAAATGGCATAAGTTTTATTTGCTAGACGGATACCTTTTTCTGCCTCCGCAGACCTTGGTGTACTACGCATATATTTCTCTGCTATACGGTGTATTATTTTTGTGTGCCTGTTCTACCTGTTGTGGTATTTCTCCCGTCCATCTCCCACCCCTGTCTCCTGGCGTATTTCTCCCCGCGTCTTTCCCCACTCCACTCCTGTGTCAGTGCCATTGGTGTACGGCCGAAGCTCGGCCATCGACAGCGCGCCCGTCTGCGCTGTTTGCTGTGACCCACGGCGATGGCCGAGTGCATATTGACCTGGAACACAGTCCGATTGGACCGGCCACGGGCCGTTCGTGGGCTGTCCACGGACTCCCCACGGACTGTCCACAGGCTGTCCACGGGCTGTCCACAGGCTGTCCACGGCCCGTCCACGGGCTGTCCACGGATAGACCAGTTGACGAGGGTCTGAGGCTGGAGATTGGGCTGGTCACGGGTTGTCCACCTACTGTCCACGGGCTGTCCACGGACCGTCCAACGGACTTCCCACGGGCTGTGTACAGGCTGTCCAGACTCTCCAGACTATCCAGACTGTCCACAGACTATCCACATACTGTCTCCACGGACTGTCCACGGGCTGTCCACAGGCTGTCCAGACTGTTCCGTCTGGCCACGGGTCGGGGGTCTAGAGCTGGAGATGGGGACGGAGCTACTCATAGGTTGACCCTCACGGGTTTGGGGCTGGGGTTGTGACTGGGGCCATGACTAGGGACTGGGTCTGGGACGAGTGCTGTGGAGACCTCGACTGGAATGAAAGGATGTGTGGTGTGTGTGGTGATGGTGCGCGCCCACACCGTTTTCTGAACATACGCCTGTGCATTGCGCACTGCAGCCAAGGTAAGACGTGTTTGCTCGTTGAGTTGTCGCCTTCCTGGTATGCAGCTGCATGGCTTTGCACGAACTCTGTTTTGTGGAATGTCTCTATGTATGTCACTGCATGCGGGCTCATTTTCAATGTTAATCTTGCTATTTGAAATAGTTGCAAGTATAAAATGCGAAAAATAATGACGTGATTGAACTTTTCCGAACTATTTCAAGTTTTTTTTTTCGACGAGATTCTAAAGTTGTTGGTCAAGTACAATGATTCAGTATTGTTTTCTCGCCTCTCTGGCCCGGTTCATATGATGTCCGTTTTCGCCACGCACTGTTCCCGCCCCTGTGCCCTGTTCGATTCACCTGCTGACGCTGCTCACCGTGCGCTGTTGACAGCGTGTGATATGAACGTACACAAACGGTGCCAGGACAGCGTACCGAACCTCTGCGGGTGCGACCACACCGAGCGACGGGGGCGGATAGAGCTGGGCATCACCGCATCCGGCAACAAACTCACCGTCGAAAGTGAGTACCAGTGTCCTACCAGATCCACTACCAGATCCACTACTAAATTTAGTACTAGATCTACTTAGTATTGATCCTTTCTCAACGTGCAGATATATCATTTATGGCAGATACATGATCTTTTCTGCCATTTGAACAGACATTCTCAATGTGCTTGATGATAAACACGGGCGATTTACCTTCGTAAAGGCTCTGATGTATCACTTTTTGTATAAGCAAAAAGGATCCCTGTTGCTCATCATACGCACATTTCACAATCACTTCTTCCCTCTGGCCAATGTCCCGGACTCGCTGTCAGTTCAGGAAGTGTTGTAATGGATCCTAACTTCGCTAAACCGCGGCTTTTAGCTGCCTGATGCAACTCTGAATGTTTGTGGTCTGGGTGGACTCACAATGTATGAAACTGGCAACCTCAAGGATCCATCTCAGAAACGGGACGCTTTGTAAAGGAATGATTGATAAAACGTGTACCGGAATGTTATGCTGAAACTATCTGATCGATGTTTTTCTTTGAAGTTGGTTTGTGTTTATTTCTAGATCACCTCGAATACATCGTACGAAATTGATGAGAACTCATCAGCCGATCAGCTTTGAAGGCTTTCACTATTGGAAAGAAGTAAGCAACCCTAACTCTGGTTTCATTATTATTTAGACTGGCTATGATGATGTGCGTTAGCGTGAAAAACACGACCTAAAAACCATACTAAAATAACTATTTAGATAATGAGCTGTAATGATATGCCACCCAAAATATGTGAGAGTCTGGCTTATGCTACGTAACTAACTAGTTTTGCGACCGTAAGCCCTATGAAAATGCACTTAACTTGTAAATCCTATAGCGAAACAGTTTGACGTTTGTGCCAATCTTATGCTTTACACTTTCGAATCCGGGTGCACATTTCAGTTCCACAGTGAGCTCTGGGCGGCCGGGCCGATCCCCATTGTCGGCGCGGCTCGATCTGTTGAGCCCGTGGATCGATGTGTCCCGGACCCAGCGCTGTGCGCGGGCGGATCCCCCCCCCCCCGGCCCCTGGCCTCCGGGTTCTGCTCAATCCGCCTCTATCGTGACTTCAGTCCCAGCCTGTCGACGCCCCGGATAGCCTCAATCCTAGTCCAGGCTTTTGGTATCGACCTTCTTTTTTCGTGACCTCAGCCCTATCTAAATATCGCCCGATCTTGATTCGCTTTTATTTTTATTCCAGCCCCTCTTCCCCGTTTCGACCCCACGTAGCTTTGGTGGAGATGCTCACATAAATTTTCATTTTCACATTCATCGTATGCGAACAATGTAAAGACATTGCCTCAATTTGGCGTATTTTTACATCTTAGGATCATGAAACCTTTACCGATAAAAACAAGTGGAAGGAACAGCTGTTGGTAAATTTTCGACTGCCGAGTGTGTTCGAGTCCGCCTATCATTACCAGCAGATAGGAAGGTCATATCCGCACAGTGCGGCGGGGCGTTGGCCGGCCCCGCGGTCCCAGTGCATCCACCAGTGACCGGGGTCATACAGTCATGTCACCACCACATTGCCACTGAGTGTCGGCTCCCATTTGTCTGGGCACGTGACCTGCCTGGCCGGCATGGTATGTGTGGTCGGGGGACGTGCCGCCGCGGCCGGTCCTGGACGCCAGAGTGGATCCGACAGAGGGCCCGGTATTAGACCAGACAGTGCACCTAGTACTGGACTAGACAGTGAACCAGACACTAGACCGAACAGTGGATCACAGAGTGGATCACACAGTAGACCCGGTATTGGACCACACAATGAGCTCGGTATTGGACCTGGTACTGGACCAGACAGTGGACCACAAATTGGAACACACATTGGAGCACACACTAGACCGAGCAGTGGATCACAGAGTGGGTCATACAGTGGACCATACAGTGGACCACACAGTGGACCACACAGTGGACCATGCAGTGGACCATACAGTGGACCACACAGTAGACGACGCACTGGACTGGACAGCGAACCACACGTTGGACCGGCCAGTTGGCCAGCCATTGGTTCTGTTCGATGCCCCGACAGTGAATCCAGCGACAGACGCAGCGCGCGCCAGTGTTCCGACTGCATGGGCTGGCGTTTTGTCGTAGCTCTGATGTTGTCGTGGCTCTGTTGTGTTCCGCCATGACGCGTCCGGCTGAGTTTTGTTGACACGGCTCGCGGCTCGGTCGGTCAGATCACTGGCTGGCACAGTTCACCACTTCAACTATATACGAGTATATCGGGGCCGGGCAGGCGATACCGGCTTATTGTTTGTACAGCGATGATAGGGCGGCCTCGGAGCCGGCGTCTGCCGTTACACACAGAGCGGTGCCATGTGTGTGCATGTATCTATTATTAGTCTTAGCGAGATGTGATTGATGGGTGTGGCTAAAATAAGCCATGAACATATGATTGATTGCATTGAATATTGATATTGAAAACTTGTTGCCATTTACTTTGTTTTTATCGCTCCCCAAATTATCGGTTTTCTTAACACGCTCTCTTAATTAAAGCTGAGGATGTGAGGTCTTCATTGTGTGGCCAACTTTGCTGTTTCACGTCTAATTGAGCTCGAGTTTTGCGAAGAACAGTATGTTTTGTTTAGTCGCTAGACGCAGCGAATAATATCAAATGTTTAAGTCTCAGGATCACCGGTCAGTTTCAAAACCAGGCCAATGCCTAAAATGGGACCTTCAAGTTATCGGTAAATTGTTTCGGTAACAAGGGTTCACATCCTGAAATTATCACAAACTTTTGTGATTCCGTAGCTAAACTATGTAATTGGGGTGACGGAAAACGCGGACGAACTTGTTTAACTTCACGAGTAGTACCCACTGCCCTAGAGTACCTACCTCTATCGAACAGTACCCTAGCAAGGCGCGGAATACCACAACTTGCACCTGCCTGTTGGTTGAATTATTACCGTCTATTACCAGGTGACCGATTTCCCACGCCCATGGCCACGTCACTTTCATGCTGTCGTCTTTGTTATTTTACCACACTCATCAACCCAAAGATGACGTAGTAAGCAAACCGTAAACGAACGACCGCACTTTTCCAGGGTTAGTGACGGCCAGTATGCCTCTCATCTCTCCGCTGGCGCATGATAATTAATTATGAGATTGGCTAGTGAAGCGTTGCATTAATTAGTCCGGAGCCTATTTCTGCGACCGTTTGCTGCAGGGCGGCCCATTTTACGGCGGCGAACCATCGATAACCACCGGCTGCTCCATGGTGTTAGCGGGGGCTGTGGCGTCTGGGCTTACCCCGCCCCGTAACGGCGGTGGTTTACCATGTGAGGTGTCCTCTTTGTAAATGCTCACAAATTTGTAAAAGATGCCTATGCGGAAAAGTATGAATGCATTTGTTTCATTGTTCTTATCTTTTGTGTGAGAGTACAGTATCAGCAGGAATGTAGGAGATTAAATCGAATGGCAACTTCTTTCTTCCTTCTCATCATAGTTCGAAGAAAGGTTTACAAACTAGCTTATCAATTTATGTAGAAACGTTTTAATAGTTTGCTGTTTTGTTTCCGGCTTGTCTGAAGTTAAGTTTTAAATGCGATTCATTCATGTTTATTGCTAATGTTGTGTCGTCCCTAAGCGGCCGGGGTCGGATGCCTTCCAGAACCGTAGCGCCGATCGTCACCAAACTTTCAGTACCCTCCCGTGAATAGCTTTTACTCATTGTGACCAAAAATTTATCCAAAGGCTGATAGCTTGGCCGCTATAATGAAGTCGGAGTGACGTCATTTCTGCCATTTTCGACAAAAAAAGGTGTCGCGGGAAGGAGCTGAGACAACCGTCAGTCGCGTTTCGACTTATAGTCCAATGGTAATGCGGTTACGAAGCAGCTCAAGCTGCCGTCCGCCGCTGCACGCATCTCCGGGGGTAGTCTGGTGCGTGTCCGGTCACACGGCCGCTGGCTAAGCAGCGCGATAACGCAGCCGAGCGGCCGACCGCGACTGAGCAGACCAACCCCTATCCAGACCGCCGCCGGCTCAGTAGCGCAATAGCGCAGCCAACCAGACGGAGCGGCGATCCAGATCCGGTCGCCGGCTTGGGCCAGGATTAGGGGATCAGACCGTGTGTGCTCCAGCTGCCCTGCTCTCATGGAGATGTCCGGAAAAGCTATTGTCCTTTTTTCTCTGCCTTTTTCTTTCTCTTTGGTCAGAGTTTTTGTTAATGTTTTTTTCTTGTGGCTTTCTTTTTTGTCTTCGACCGAACATGAGTTGCTGTGAGTCCCATGAACGTTTCTTTTTTATCATTTTTTATCAGAAAAGGTTTATGATATTTTTGGGTCGACTCGTTTCCGGTACCACGGCTATTCTGCCTGGAAAATACTGATTATAACCTGAACTAGAAAAAACATGCATAATGCCCAACAAATGGGCGGATTGTTTAACCCTATTAGTGGCAGGGGGGGGGGTTGTTTTTATCCACCCCTCAGGTTTTTCGGGAATATCTCCGAAACCGCTGAAGCTACGATGATGAAACTTTCTGACTTTTCCTAAAACTAAATTGGGCACATTCCCTGAAAATTTCAAGTTCATAACTTTACCAGGGGCGGCTCCAGAGCACTGGGAATTGGGGGGTCCTATTCGTGAAGCGAGTCATTTGGGCGAAGATCACGATGCTGCACCAGTTTCGAACAGTGAATGAAAGGTATCATGTGATAACATATACAAAGTTATTGTGCATCCTCTTTTGACACGTTTTTGCTATAATAGGCGGATCCAGGCGTCCAAAAAGGGGGTTATTTTTTACCTCCCAACATAGGTGCCCTGACACCGCCTATGCATGACCAATACAATTTTAGTCGTTCTCTCATAAGAAAATTGTAACATAACAAGACCATTGCCACCCTTTTTAGAAACAGTACCAACAAAAACCTTATTTACTATACTTTTTGTGTACCCCCAATCTCAATGATCTGTATCCGCCTATGATTTTTGAAAATGCATATTTTTAGGATCCATGTGAATTCCTGGTTCATTCTCTATCGATCAGCAAAAGTTGCGTTAAGATTGGTTCAGAAACCTGGCCGTGATAAACAGTCTAAAATGTATCTGCAATTTGCCCGTTTTTACCCCCCTCTACCCCCCTATTGACATTTTTTAATTTTTTTTTTTAGAAATGTAGATCTCGTTGAGCGAAATCGAATGCCGTTTGAATTTTGAAAATCGGCCCGTTAGATCTCGAGATATCAAGGGGGGGGGGGTCGTAAACAGCCCCCCCCCTGCCTATTAGGGGTAGCCAGGAGCCTGCCACTAATATGTAGGGTTAATGTATTTGAACATTATTCAAAATACCGGATACAGGTACACCCGGGTCAACAGTCAGCTGTCAGTATTGAGTATATTGTCATTCCCCTTAGCTGATGAAAGAGGGCAACGAGGGAAACCTTACCTTACCTTACCTATACCTTACTTAGGGAGACCAAATGCCTGATTGGACCCGTTCTCAGCGAGCTCTTTCAATCTCCGTTAGATCTCCATCTTAACCCTCGCCCTGGCAGGGGGGGGTCGATGCGACCCCCCTAAGGTTTTTCGAAGATAGCGTAAAAACGGCGGCGCGCAGCGCCGCCAAATTTGGCACAGCCTATGGGGCAACCTTTTTAAATATGACCTGAAAATTTCAGGTCCAGGTGACCTTGGGTCAGGTCACCAGGTCAGAAAAACCGGTACAAGGTCATGGTCAAATTTCAATTTTCTTTTTGCACCTCTCCAACTCACAGTTTTGCACTGATTTCCTTCAAACTTTCAGGATGTGCTAAGTTCACCGAGTTGTATGACATATAGTTCGGATTTTTTGAGGTCACTGACCTGAGGTCAGTTAGAGGTCATTACGTCGTAATGTTAAGCCTATGGGAAAATACTAAATTCGGAAAATACTGGAGATATCCGCTTCGTTCTTTCACTTTTGTGCTTTGAAACCATAGTACTTAACAGCAGGTCACTTGGTGCTTCTTTGTTTGGTGTACTTATCCCTGGGTCAGGTCAAATGAGGTCAATTGAGGTCAAATGACGTTTTTGCCAATAACTTGGCACATAATGACGCTAGAGCTTAAAAAATGGTATTATTGTGTTCCTGGTGATCAGCCGAATCGAATGATATGCGATATGCTGCAATTTGGTTAACTTGAACTTAATTAATTAATTAAAGTTTACTTAAAATTTAAGAAAAACTTTAAGTACACTTAAGAAAGCAAAAAAGTATATCACTCGACGCGCCTTGACGTTCTGAGTTCACTGGTGCTTTTCTTTTTGCTCTATCTTAATTAGATCAAAAGTTATAAGCGAAAAACTTTTGACCTGTTTTTAGCGAAATTTTTACATTTATACCCCCCAAAACCCCCCTAAATATAGAGCAACCAAATTTGCACAGGGGCGAGAACTCCAGGGGGCCCACCTACCAACCAAATTTGGTGTTTCTAGGTGCCATAGGAGCCAATCGCGAGGGGGAGGGGGGGTCGCATCGACCCCCCCCCCCCCCCCCCTGCCAAGCCGTGTTATGAAAAATGCCCTGCCAGGGCGAGGGTTAAGAAGGAAACAGTGCAATGTCATGCCTACCAGCTTCTTGTCTCGCTTCCAAATCCCCGTGACCACCTTCCTAGTTCCTATGGCTGAATAGTGAATAACGCAAGTCACCGTGTCCGCTCAAAATGTCGCTGCAGCAACAAGCCTTTTCACCGTTTGAAGGGCTGGCTCCGCTAACTTATCCAGCTATTACCATTGCATCGGCGGGAGCTTTCTGTCTCGCCCACGACCTGTTTCCGTCCGTGCGGCCCTCCCACGGCCTCCTCCCGTGCTCTGCCCGCTCTCCCGCTCTCTCTCTCTCCCCCCACCGCTGCATACATTAGCCGGCTGGGTGACCGCGGCGGCGTCTGATGGTGGCAGTCCGTGCCACAGAACTGATCCAATTACCCCCCGCGCAGAGACTCATAGCGGCCCAGCCACATTACACAGAGAACGGAGAGACTCAGACTCAAAGTGACTCCACTCGGAGTCACAGCGAGCCATCCAGACACAGGCCTCAAACTGACCCTGCCAGACTCATAGCTCCCCAGCCTCACTGTGTCGGAGAGAGACAGACTCTAACCGACCCTTCTCGAACTTATAGTGACCTACGTCCTACACACAGAAACATAGACTCAGACTCAAAATACAACACTGCGTGTGATGCTCGGAATGACGCAATTTGTTGGGTTCATTTTGTAGTGAATATTTCTTTACTTTTTCTTTGTTTCTCTTTGAATAAGTTCATTTTATTTTCGCATAAGTCCATGATACTTTCCTGGGAGTTGTGTCAGGCTCTCTACCAAAATGGGCCAAGTGTCTCTCAGCGTTAGTTCCTAATCAATACCAATGCTTCCAGACGTATTACGGAAATCGCCACATGCTTAGGCCATCGGGGGCATATTTGCTCGCTACGACACTTTTTGCCTCTGTTTTTATCCTCTCCGTGCTACTTTTTCATTAGTTGTGTTGTTATTTTTTTGTGTCATCGCTTACCGTAATGATGTCCCCTATAAGCGCCACTGTAGCTCACCGTAGCTCACTGTAGCTCACTGTTGCCACAGTAGGTCATAATTGTGCACAGCGTGGTCCGCGTTTTCCGGGCTAGCTGGTCCTATTCACCTTGTCTGGTGTCGGGCTTCGCAGGGTGTGAGATCTAAGAGTGTGCGGTGGGATAGATTATCACTCTTAATGACAATTATATGGACGGAATACACCTCATAGTTATTTACAAAATAGATATAAGTTATGCATCAGTTTTTCATCCGATGCCTCAAGCCTCGAATCACACTCCGTTTGGGATTGGTATTACTTTTCCTGCATGCTTGGCAACGCTGGGGTAAGATTGTCGTTACCCGTGTTTTACCTTCATGAAATTATAGCTTGAAATGAGCAGCATTTATTGTACGACATCATAAATAACATATCATCATAGACATTATGTCATCTGTTATGATACCTATTACCTAGGCCACGTTCCTACGCCTCTATTCCATGCCACTTTTCGTGAGCCCCATCGGAGTCTGGGGCTGTTTTCGGCAACAAAAATTATTAGTATGTCACTTCATTGCGTTATGCTTCGAGATCTACCAAACATCAATGATTAGTTGTCTAGTCAATCCTCTTACGTCAGTCATCTTATCTCTCTTTTGACTCATTTATGACCACCGCCCGTCTGGTCCGTTTCAGTCCGGCAGGGTAAGAACCTGATCCCGATGGATCCGAACGGCTACTCGGACCCCTACGTCAAGCTGAAGCTGATCCCCGACCAGGATTGCTCTAAGCGCAAAACCAAGACCATCAAGACGTCGCTGAACCCCGTCTGGAACGAGACGTTCACAATGTGAGTGATGGCGAGAGGGATGGCACGGGCCGGGAACAGGCACTGGGCGGACTGCTTTTTATAGTAATGGTCCTCAGTGAAGTCAATGAAGCCTTCAGTAGAGTGCATTTATTCGGCCTGAATATTTCTGGTTACTGCCGTTTTATGCTGCATGGAATGATAGAGGATCCATTGAGTGGTATAATCCGATTATTTTGTCATCGAGGTCATTTGTCATGCTCGAGCATGTATGCTATGATTTGATTTCTTGTTTGTTTTCTTTTTGAAGACCAGACTTATGTTCAGAAGGAGTCTCTCTGATAGCAAATGTCTTAGCTCATACAGTTTGATGGTGTACTCTGGCCATCGCTGGTGAAAAATCGCTGCCGTTGCGATAAATTGGTATGTTCCCTGTGGCCCGCAGCGTCCGGCGCCGGCCCCGGATAGACGCCCGTTTGATATCGTCCGATGCAGCCGTTTCGCGTTTCTGCGAATGCAACGGGTGCGGGCAGATTTACGAAAATTAAAGGCGACCTGAGCGGCCGGCTATACGGGCGCCGCCTTTGGAGACATCGATCGGGAAGCCCGGTGGGAAATTCAGACCTCCGGCTGACTGGGTGGGGTCTATGGCGGACTGGATGGGGCTCTGGTTGACTGATTGGGTGGGTCTCTGGTTGACTGGGGGGAAGGGTGTCTCTGGCTGACTATATGCACCGTCGCAATAGCAGATTGCAGAGCAATAATATGACTGCGTTCTGCACTACCCCAAACTGCCTAACTTCCCATAGGTCGTTCTGCTTTGTGCCTGAGTTCATAGTTGAGGGACACAGAATGGCATTGGGTAGAACCTCTCTGTTCGCCATCTTGTGACGAAACTGGGCGACATTATACTAACGATTGGGAGCATATTCAGACAGCCATGAGAAAAGTTGGTACGGGTTCAATTACATTTCGTATTGCTGAAGTTTGGACATTGACGAGAGAGCCCCGTAAGGAACATTTCACCACGCGACGGTACCTACAGGGACGAGTTTGGCTGGCTAAGTATGGTGCTCAGTGCTCGGTACTTACTCTCTGGAGAGCTCTGAGGAAGGGATTTTGGGTATTGGCTTAGCATAACAATGATACATGTTCTGTGTATGCTTTTGTTTTGACTCATGTTTTAACGAAGAATAATGACAAGTGAACCTCCCTCGGACAACTGGGTTGCACCACCGTATACGATTTCTCTGTTGGCTACTTGTAACACTTTATAAAACACCACATGACTTTAGGAATGCTTCTTCTTTTAGTGCGTTTAAATTGGCAATCAACATTAACTACTAATCTAGTGCACGATTCCTGAATTCGTTAGGCAGTTAGCCCAAGGCATAATTTTGCCATACCAATCACGAGGACCATCCCCCTGTGGGTATCCGTTCGAAGCATATTATGACAAATCTCAGTTGAAATGTCTGAGTTTATTTATCCTGCGCCGTCCCCATGCGGTCTCACATACAGCCCAATGGTCGCCGCTGCGCCGCTTTGTGAACCGCGCGGCGGGCGGCGCCGAGTTGGAAGCGGCGGCGGTCGCCCGGTGGCGGCGCCGGCTCACCTAATGAACCCCAGCTGCGCCCGACCCCACGCTCCCCACGCGCCATCGGCCCACGGCTGACGCAGTAATTGGCGCAACACAGCGCTCTGAAGTGGAAAACAGCGCCCCGCTCTAAAGCAATACAAGCGCCCCGAGCGCCCCAGCACGAGCTGCTCTGCACTGTTTTTGTAGCCACATATAGCGGTGGGACAACCGGACATGGGTAACGACTTAAAGATAATAATGTATAGTTATTTTAGGTGCGCTGTGTTAGCTCGCACACCGACAGCAATCCTCCGCCGGAGGCTTTTCGTTCATTTTGGAAAAAAATGCGTTTCCTAGTGCCGCGAAAAATGCATTGACAATATTTGGACTATTTTGTCCCATATGACGTCTTTTTGACCTCACTTGAAAATTATTCTTGTAAAATGTAGCAATTGTCCACCTATATCAATACGCGAACAGCCGAGCTGAATTGAGCTTGACTTCTAACCTGGGACAGTGTACGCTGTGATCAGACCTTGAACCATGATCCCTGTCAGCTAACTAAAACCACGACCTGACCTTGATAGCTAACTTTGACCGCTGACCTTGACCGCTGACCTTGAGCGCTAACTTTGACCGCTGACCTTGACCGCTGACCTTAACCTCTGACCTTGAGCGCTGACCTTGAGCGCTGACCTTGAGCGCTGACCTTGACCACTGACCTTGACCGCTGACCTTGACTTCTGACCTCGGGCAGTGAGCTGAAGCCTGAGGACAAGGACCGCCGGCTGCTGGTTGAAGTCTGGGACTGGGACCGCACATCCAGGAACGACTTCATGGGATCACTGAGCTTTGGTGAGTGGCAGGACGGCGTTACAGGATACACTGGATGTTACAGAACAGCTTCTGTGAGTGGCAACACTGGATGTTACAGAACAGCTTCTGTGAGTGGCAACACTGGATGTTACAGAACAGCTTCGGTGAGTGGCAACACTGGATGTTACAGAACAGCTTCTGTGAGTGGTAACACTGGATGTTACAGAACAACCTCGCTGAGTAACAGAACGGCCCAGGGCGACACTGGATGTTACAGAACAATACTGATTGTCATGTCATACGGCACGGAACAAGAACAGAATTGGTCGTCGTCGTCATGCATTTGCTTTACTACACTTTGCACTACACATGACGCATACCTAATGCATATGTAGCCGTCGTGATATTGCGACTTATGTAAAACAACATGGTAATAACGTGGATGTAAAGGCCTATAGTGCCGAGATCATTCATGTGAAGTTTCTTGGGCAGATTTATCCGATCTATTGAACGAAGCATGAAATTTGAAAACTGGTTCGGAGGTTCAAAGATCAGCGGGATGAAAATGTCCCATTACGTGCTCATAACCGAATTATGTTACCGAATTATGCCAGCAAGGCGCAGTCTGAGAGCTGTGGCCAGTCCTTAAGTGTAATGATCATTTGAACTGGTGGAATCCATTCCAATATGAAATATGAACTGAAACTGTGTGACAGATTGTGTATAATAATTTTGTATTTGTAAACCAAGTTACTAATGTCTGCAATCCCGTTGCCCATGACAGAACGGAGGATATATTGAATTCATTACGTACCACCAAGGAGGTCGAAATGTAAGCATAATTGATTTGAATGTCAATATCAGTATGTTTCCAGAAGTTGCATCGAATCGCGCCTTCATTTGGGATAAGCTTGCAATTTTGCGATGATGGTAATGAAGCGATGTGAAGTCGAGCTACGAATAAGGATGCCAAGCTTGAGCCACCGTAGCTGGCACGTTTTTCCCGGAGCCGGAGTTGCTGGGTGCCGGTACACAGAGCCGGAGCCGGAGCTTCTAAAAATTGGTTTGATCTACCTCTGAAAAGATCATATCCAGACAAACCAAAATAGCTGAGTGTGAGATGAGTGCGCTCAATATTTGAAGTTTAGATCCGACTGGTAGTGGAACTACGGCCACGGTCCTGGTGGGCGAGAGACTGCGTTAATTATTCCGACAGGAGGCCAATTAGTGCGCTGGAGAGAGTTAAATTAACCTTTAGAGTGTAGACTATATATTAGTTTATTTGAATGTGTTATATTGTGATATACAGGTATTATGGAGTATGTATGAAACAAGGCGCTTTGTCATTTTGCGTTAACGTTAACAAAATAGTAGCTCCCGTAGCTCAGTTGGTTAGAGCGTTGGACTCCGCGTGGTGAGAGCACGTGTTCCCGGTTATAACAGTCCGGGTTCGAAACGCGACGGGCGCTAGACATTTATGGGCCTCCTGACAGGTATGGTTGCGGTTGGTGGCAGGCCGTAGCCAGGCGAACTCAGCGAGGGGACCGGCCGTGCGCGGCTTTGTGCGCACGTTAAAATTCGGACTCTAAATTCTGCCATAGAATCGGAACTGCGCGATCGGAGGGTAGAGGGCAGGGTCATCGCAACAAGCTTCGCTTAGCGGTGGCTCTGTCCTTGTGAATCCTTCCCATCAAAAGGTTCGGACTAAATTTATAAAAAAAAATCCATCTAATTTCGCTCATCTTACACATCAGAATGGCCAGCAATAAGCTCAGCTTTAAAGGGACCCTCACACCTTAACATTAGATTTGAGTTGAGATAGCCAAAATGGGGTCCCTGGCTCACAATTACCGGTTTCGGCACTCACAACATCGAGAAATGCCTTAAATCGGAAATATTGAATTTCAAAATTGCAGCATTTTGTTTCAGAGGGGCTAATGCATAGGAATATCCCTCTGAATGTGTGACGTCAACGCAGATATCTAACGATTTTTAAATGTTTGACTAAAACGTTTTGTAGCACGCGGTGGTATATGCTGCTTTGCGCGCAACAAGTGCCGCACTTTCAGCTGTCAAACTATTGCTTCCAAATAAAGTCGCTAGGAACAGCGGAGATCCCAAAAAGTAAACAAAAGTAAAAGTCTAATATCTTGAAAACCGGTGAATATTTTTCGGTGAAATTTGGTAGATATTCGTTTCCGCTCTTTCTGAACCGAGCGACATCACTTTCATGCCAATTCATAATTCATAAACTTTTTTGAAGGTGGGAGGGTCCCTTTAAATCTCTCTTTTCGCCCATATAACTTCGCATGAAGTAGCCTAGACTCATTCGTTTCTCACCACTCACGAAATCTATTTTTCTTGGTTTCTCACGTTGAATAGACTCGATCGCGCTCCATGACCTATGCTCAGTGGTTTGGTCAATGATCTATATACTCCAGTCTGCTCTAACTGGTGACCTAGCCTCATTGTGTGACCTCTTGCGCGCTGACTACCTGACCTGTGACCCAGACCCAGTCTGACATTTTCCCAACCATCTGACCTGTGACCTCGTGTGACCTCTCTGACCTCGTGTGACCTCTCTGACCCCACTGTCAGGTATCTCGGAGGTCATCAAGGCGCCAGTGGACGGCTGGTTTAAGCTACTCACTCAGGACGAGGGGGAGTTCTACAATGTGCCGGTGCCGCCCGAGGGCACCGACATCATGGAACTGAAGGAACGCGCAAGGGTGAGAAAATGGGGACTGCTCCGGTGAAAAGGGGTGTGGTAGGGTGAAAAGGGATATGGCAGGATGAAACGGACCACAGGGAATGCTTGAGGATAAGGGATTACTCGAGGAATAAGGGATTCCAGCCGTACGTGAACTGGTTGGCTGTAAAAGGAATGTCCTCAGGAATATTCGCTCGAAAATGGGTTGATGTATCTGGGAAAACAAACGACATGTCCCGTCATCTCATATCATGTCGCCTCAAACAGGGCATAAGACATTCCAGGAGATGCACATACATCTCATCAAAATGGTATGTCTCGTCGGACTCGGGTCACCACAAAGTACGAGCGTTTCATCACCTGGCTGCTTGGCCCGTGCGCCCGTACGGCGCTGAGAAATTCGCCAGTCGACCGGATGGCCGGCAAATTCATATGACCTGAGGCATTCGGCCGGTATAAATAGCTGCCTGCAATGAAAGCCAGCCGGCCGCCGGTCCGGCTCCGGCGCGGCGGCGCGAAATTGGCGCGTTGAAGACATTCCCGGCGCGCGGCGCCGATCTGGGCGGTTGAGTGGCTCGGGGGCGGCCGCCACCAGTGGCCGTGGGCCGCCGGTGGCTGTGCAGGCCGTCAGGAGGCGGAGACGCCATCAATTTCACACTGGGCGCTCAGTGCCAACGGCCGATATTCAATTACATTGACGGCGCTCCTCGGCACTGTATCGGGTTGGTAGAGCAGGGAAGCCTGTCGCGCGCTGACGAAGTCTTTATCCAGATCATTTTACCAAGAGGCCGGGAAAGGAATGGCGGGGCTCGATATTGCATTTACAACAGAAAAAAAGGCGAGAATGTCACAATGTCACATTATGCAGTCCTTACGAACCGCATCTATAACTGCCAAGCCTTTCTTGAAGCGGGGCTTCATCGGGCTTAACAACAAAAAGAGAAATGACCCTTAAATCCCATTGGTACAAATTTGCAAATATCACGTGACTTCATAGTTAATCATATGATTTCAAGGTAAGCATTCACTATTCATGCTCCTTATGGCGACGCTTTTGAGAGGCGAACCATCTGCATTGCATCCCCAGCTAAGAAATTCAGCGTCAAGAGTTTGTTCCATGACCTTTAGGCCACCGGCTTTTGATGTGCAACTATCATCTGCACTTTTGGAAGCTTCCTCATTGTTTATGCAAACCTACTTCTTCATCAATCCCTCATGAACTTTCTCAATCTCAGATTCTGATACGAGCCTGTTACTTCATTGCTGTTTTCTTCTTTATGATCTTGTGATCGCACTAAGTTTTCCTTGCAATAATTTGCAGCAATCAATTATGGTTACCTATCTGAAATGTATTGATGTTTGCACCCACCCTATTTGCCATCTACAAAACGCTAATGGTAACTTTCTTCTTGCCTCAGCACCACTTTGGCACCGTACGTAACTACACCGCAGCACTTCTGCCATGCGCGAACTGTAGCACTCCGACTCTTGATGGATGCTCTATCCTCAACTGTTTCTCTCTATGGCACCTTCACTATGTAAACCTCCTCTTGATGCACTGTGCGGGCTGTTGATGTTCGGTGTGTACCGGGCTTTAGTGATTCTGTCGGCCACCAGTCTTCGCTGCCTCTGACCGGCCGCTGCCGCGCGGCGCACCTCTGTTTCAGGGCCGGGGATCTATGACCGACGTAAGACCCGTTACCCCGAGTGTGCCGTGTGCAAGGTCGTGTGCGAGAGCGTGTTTGTACCGTGTGCACAATTGTGGGTTGATAGGCTCGCGAACGCATGCTTGATTTTTTTGCGTTTAGCGTGTGTGTGCTTGTGTCTTTTGAGATTGCTATTTATAGATTCCCTTAGAGAAACACAATTTTAGACGGCCAATGGGAAAAGCAAAAACTTACATCATTAGTCACACCGGTTCTGAACAACGGTTGACAATTGTTAGCTCTGGACTAACACGCGGGGCAACCGCAGCAACGCACAACCGGTACACACCGCTATACGAGATAGGCATAACTATCGTACGTTACTGTATAACGCCACGGCAGACCCGGCAGTGACATTTTATAGCAATTCAGTCCAGTAGTAGCCGCTGGATACCCGACCTGATTGGTAACGCCAGTTGAGGGCAAGATAGCCGCGTGGGAGGGATTTATTTCGCCGAAACATTTCAGCCTGTTTGACAAAGTAATTCGGCCGCACGAGCTGCTCTTATATTTAGCTCCTCCTAAATCAAACCAAAAATGTTTGTAGCAATGATTTCTGCGTAATTATTTATTACTGTTATCAAGCTGATAGTAAGCCTTATAGGACCGTTTTCTGATACAGAACACAAATAGCACAAATACGGTCACCGCTGGCTCGCGACTCGATGTGTGCCTGCCAGCGGTCCCTTCCAGTAGATTACTGTACGGTCGCTCCCATTGTGTTGGTGTGGGGCGCCCCGTGGTGTCTTGTAGGACGGGCCAGCAGCCCTGGCGGATGGCGGGGGAAGCGGGGAAGGGTAGGGAGAGGGCTGGGTCCGCGGTCTGTGCCTCCACCGGAGCCCGGATACCATGACTGGAATTGGCCAGGATTGATGGCCGCTGCACCAGCTGCTCTGGGGACGGGGGGGAGCACGGGAGATCGATCATTCCCGGTCAGGGGGGCAGCAGGGGGGGGGGGGGGGTCTGCGGGAGAGAGATTGTGCAGGACAAGACTGAAGATGGGTGATACTGCGGCGCACCGTAGGATTATGTCAGCCACCGGGGAGCTCCAGAAGGCGGGACAAAGGGCTGCGGAGACCGGGGTAACGCCGAGGTCAGGTCAGGGCGCGGGGGACCCTGGATGAGCACTGAGCAGCTGGACGGGAAGCTGCAGAAATAAGTGTAAGAGTGGACTGTCACGAATACTGGGCTTTTATTGACTGTGTTTATTTTCTGAGAAAGGGACATTGAAGCTAGATTAAGGCGCTCAAAAATTGAAATGATCGGACACAAATATTGTTATTTATGCATGTCCATTGTCCAATCGCTGCTGCAAACACCAGCATGCCATGAAGCACCGTTCGGCTCTCGCTAAACCAAGGCAAACAGCAATTATGCTAGCGCCTATTCCCGGAACTCTAGGAAAAGTGGGACTGGGAGTTTGGAAAGATGGCGAGATAAAATGCAATGCAATAACTCACTCATATCTTTCAAATAGTTTAAGAAATTTACAATATGCTTGAGAATAAGATTTGTTTGGCGGTCAGTTTAGATAAAAAATAACTCGGTATTTACTTCTAGGCATCTATCGTCTCCATAAGACAGGTTTGCACTGCTGCTTGGGACACACCCACATGCTGTGCCGTACACTTAATTACCTCGATTTCATCGGTCCCGTTATTCTCAACTTCCCGTGAGGGCATCACCTGACTCCTAAAAAAAAACTCTGATTGGGGCGTGGGTCGCCCACAGCGGCGCCGTCCCCAGCACTCGTGGGCGTGCCAAGTAATGGGTTTTATTCAGCGCGCTTGCCGTGGAGGAGACAGCCGTCTGGCTATGTCAGCGAGTGTGCTGACGGGTGGCACGGTGGGGTTAATCGCTACTTACTGGGAGCTGCTGCCACCGACACTCGTGACGTGGTTGGGGACGGAGGAACGTTAATGAAAAGCCAATGATGCATGAGCGGGTAGATGAATGTCCGTTATGAACGGACTTTTATTAGACATTGGTAGGAAATTCGTTGCAAACGTGCATTGTGAATCTACCTCGCTCGTGCACCTGGAGTAACCGGTATTGTGCGGTTTTGTGTGAGGTGTCTTTTAAAGTGTCGGTTGTTTGATACGGGGATGACAGTGTTCTGCAAATGAGTGCGATTGAGTCCGGCATGCTGGAATTGGTGCTGTCTTACATGCGTTTTGTGCTTTGAAGTGACAGTTTTTTCACAAAGTGGTTTTCTTGGTTTTCTTAGTTTGGTTTTCTTAGGATTTAGATTTAGAAGATATGGTTGATCAGCACGAATGAGGACTTAGCTTGCGTAGATTCATGGTATATCTGTGACCAGCTGACCAGTGTAGTTTGCAAATAGTTAGAATTGCGTCAAACCTAAATCGAGTCATTATTCACTCGCTAGTGACCTAGTGCGCGTACGGTGCGAATATCCTCTAGTGCATGGGCTCGACTGTTCGGAACTATTTAAAAAAAGTTTATAAGTTATCCGATGATCTACCTAATACAATACCGGACATGCAAGTGATAGATTTCTTTGACAGCAGCTCAAGTCAGACAGGTGAAATTATGTTTCACATAAACATCAAGTGCACCAATATTGCAACAAATGCCTTTGTTGCATATTAAATACCTTCACTGCGTGCAGCGATAGATCATCCAGCATGATCGTGACGTCCTTGTCAGTTGTCTGACGATCACATTTTACGGTGCTCACCCCCGCCCTTTCAACGACCACATTGCATGAAAACTTGCCCGATCCCTCTGTAGCGTAGGCCAACCCGCTCTGATGGCTAACTGTGATTACACGGACGTTGCAGAAGACATCGCTGACGATCCGGGCCAGCTTCTCGGAGCACAAGGACATTCCCCACAACATGGGCAAGAAGGACATGATCCGGGCGACCGACTTCAACTTCCTCATGGTGCTCGGAAAGGGCAGCTTCGGCAAGGTACGTCAGCGGACGCTGCCGCCCCAAATCAGCGGCAGTTGCATCTGGTTGTACTGAGTGAAAAGCAACAGCTGGTCAGTGGTAATGCTGCTTTAAAAACTGCTTATGTCTAAGCTGAGCCAGCAGAATCTGAATGTAGCCCTCGATTATCCAGCGAGCCAGCCATCGGTCACACTGAGCTGAAACCACCGATAATTTATCTGCCGGTAACCGGTATGAGCGCTAATTGAAAGCTGCTTGCACCCTGTGGACGTAGCCGCTGCAGCCCATGTCGACCGGTTGGTCTTCCTGGACATGTAACTCCGTGTGCTAGCTCGAGCTACGTCCACCGCGATTCTTTTGATCAAAATTTGGTCTTTTAACTGTACAAGTGGATCCTTCCTGTCTCCTCTCCATTAACCGTTGGCCCACACCTCTCCCTCTGACCCCAGCCCTATAACCCGACGTCCTCAGGTGATGCTGGCGGAGCGACGAGGCACGGACGAGCTGTACGCCATCAAAATCCTGAAGAAGGACATCATCATCCAGGACGACGACGTCGAGTGTACGATGATCGAGAAGCGAGTGTTGGCGCTGGCCAGCAAGCCGCCCTTCCTCGTCCAGCTCCACTCCTGCTTCCAAACTATGGTAAGGAAAGGTATATTTACTGGTGCTGTTGAAATTTCGCTCTTACTGTTTCAAGCTATGAGAGAAATGACACTATTTATGCGAGGTTGGGGAGTCGGAGTTGGAGTTGGAGCCGGAGTCGCCAAAATCTTGCCGACTCCTTGCTGACTCCGACAGCGGAGTCGGAGTTGACACTGCATGGCTCAAAGTCATACCCTACACCCGTTTGCTTGACGATATTTCGCTCGTTTAAAATCAGATTTTGTTGAAGCTAAGGACATACTCCTGTTTACGACGAGCATTTTCATGGAAAAGGCTGAAGTACTGCGTCAAAACCTGTTTTATTTCCACAATCCAATATTACGTGAGACGTATAATTGCAATAACTACAAGGCCTTGAAACGCGTAAAAGGTCGTTTCAAGCACGAAAAAAAGATCACCGACATGAACTTTACTTTCGTTATATGGACTTAAAGAGCATTGTGCGGAGTCGGAGGTGGAGTCGGAGTCGGAGTCGGAGTCGGAGTCAGAGTCGGAGTCGATTGTTGAAGTCGGAGTCGGAATCGGAGTCGTAGTCGGAGTCACCGAAAAGCTATCGGCTCAGCAGCCCTGATTTTATGTATGTTGACCTTTTTATAACCAGCGTTGCTACCGAAGTTGTTAAAGTTCTCATTTTGTATTATGAGCAAACAAATTTCGCTGTCCTTGTTATGATAAATGTATATCAGTCTGACATCAGTATAATGTGTGTCATATTTGAGTGACGTATGAGAGCTACCCACCGTCTTCTGCCCGTGATCTTGCCACGCGCTGACCTCGGCTGGCGCACGCGCTGACCTCGGCTGGCCCTTCCTCTCCGCAGGACCGGCTTTACTTTGTCATGGAGTACGTCAACGGCGGCGACCTGATGTTCCAGATCCAGCAGTTCGGCAGGTTCAAGGAGCCCGTCGCCGTGTAAGTGGACATGTTGTCGACTGAATTGGCGCACAGTGCACTACCGAAATATGAAATGCTTGCTATTCTGAATTTACCTTGCCCCTTATTACGGAGCGAGCGAAGCGAGCGTAGTCTTTCCTTAGATTAACGGAAATTTCTGAGTATGAGCGGCCGGCCGTGGTCACGGTTTTGTGACGCTTATATCTCAGCAACCACTTGACCGATTTACACGCGGTAATTTTTGTAGGGTAGCTTCATTCCTTCTACCAAGTATTGGACTATTCCCGATGCATGTAGGTGACCCCTTATGCACGTGCCACGTGCAAAACGAAGAGGTGTCACTTTTGTAATTGTTGCAATATCTCGGTAACTACTTGGCCGATTGCGCTGAAAGTTGGCATGTAGGTAGGCACCCACTAGGCAATGCATATCCATGTGCCAGAGTTGGGGTGCTGCTGCACGTGCGCACGTGCAGGGGTCGATTCCAGATCTCGAGAACGGCTGGACCGATTGCGCTCAAATTTGGTACACGGTTACGGAGCAGTTAGTAGGGTGCCGTGCACAAGTCAGTTGGAGGTACCCCCTCGCAATTTCGCACGTGCAAGGCCCACCCTCTCGCTCGCTCCGTTAGTCGCCCCATAAGGCGCTATACTGGTGCTATTAGGATCGTTGATCTGTTTAGTGTTTATGTGTCTTATTAGTGTGTGATATCGATCTTAAGCATGAATAATATTTATCATTGCTTATACGACGCATGACTGATGACAAATATTCGGTATTTCTCGTCCATAAAGCTGTAATTGAGCCATGAAACGCATAGTTGCGTGACTCGACCGTTTGCGTGTTTAACGAAACTAGAAAGACTGAGATAACGGAGCCACACATACGGGATAAAAGGCGTCACCGGCGGCCCGTCGGAGCTATCCGGAGCCGTCTGTGTATTTGAACGGTCAGGGTGCATCCTCACTGGAGGCTGAACCCCTCCCCCTCCTCCCCATACATTGGCAGAGTGCCGAGATGTAGAATGTTGACCGTTTACCACTGACTATCGACAGTCAACTGATAACTGATGGCTATCAGTTGATGGACATCAATCAGCAACTGTTGACTGATAAGAACTGACTGCCAACTGATTGATCAAGCCCACTGATCGAAAATTGATCGAAATCGAAAACTGATACCAGTTGATCGAAGATGTAATGACAATTGTTGTTTTGTTGTAATCGCATGTTATTGTCACTGAAGCATTAGTTCCCTCTGCCGAGTGCCGACGCTCCGCATAATTGACGATCACGCCGCGCCGTACAGTGGTCATTGATCATTGATCCTATCATTGGCTTATTGGCAGGTTCTACGCGGCTGAAATCGCCATCGGCCTGCTATTCCTGCACTCGAGGGGCATCATCTACAGAGACCTGAAACTCGACAACGTGCTGCTCGATCAGGACGGACACATCAAGGTAATATCAGTGAATCGAGACCTCACATCAAGGTTGCATCATTCAATCGGACTGGATACATCCGTTTTCGCTTCTTTTCCTCCTCTATCACTTCCCCTTCTCGAAGTCTGTCTGTCTGTCTGTCTGTCTCTGTCTGTCTCTGTTTCTCTCTTTCACCTTCTATCTCTCTTGCTCTCTTTCTCTCCCTTTCTCTTTCTCCTTTCTAAACTTTCCTCTCCAATCCATCCTCTCCGTGCTTCTCTATTGCTTTATCCTCTTACTTTCTTTCCTCACTTTCTCTCTTTTCTTTGCTTTTCTTCGCTTTCTCGTTTTCGCCTCTGCTGTCACATATCACTGTCATTTATCTTCACATCCAGGCCACTGACGCAAATGGCACACACATCCGTCCTCCTCATTAGCACAAATGTATATATGTCATCTGCCTGGAGCGACTGGGATGGGGAAAAATGGAACTAGGCACGCTAAGAAGAATGAGACTCAAAACAAAGTGTACTGTAGAAGCGTTCCAAAAGATTCAAAAGGTTGATATTGAAAACAGCTATAGGTCCCTGTGGTAACTTTTGGTTGCTTGTAGACGCGGATGGCATCTACAATGATGGCTTGTAGATAGGCAACTATCTTTCTCGCCTGAACCGGCATATGATGAGTATATTTCCATAACGCAAGTCCCTGTGGGGGAGAGGGCTCAACAGAGCGCCCCCCCCCCCCCATCTCTGAACTACTGGCTCGTTTTTGACATGTCAGACGGCGATAGGCCCGGAACAACTGCCGAATGTAACCTAATTTTGTACACCTCGAGGCTACTAACAACATCACTGGCTAAGTCTAAAAGAAATTTTTTAACATTTAGGTATTTTCATGCTTCGAAACTTGCTAAAAAAAAAATACGTTCAAAAAAATTTCATCCAAAACCAATGGTAAAAGTGGAGTCTTTTCTATTATTCCGAACTGTCAAGGGATACCAGCAGCCCCTTTCGCTTTGCGATTGTGCACTCCTACCAGGGGCCCGGGAACGATTTTCAAGTTGAGGGGGCGAGCCTAAAATACCTGACATGATGCATATGAAACAGTGGCGTAGCTAGGGGTCTAAGGGGACACGTACCCCCCCCCCCCCTCCATCGGGTTCAAAGGGACCTTCGGGTCCGAGGGGCCCTGCGGCGCCATTTGACCGCTGAAGGTCAAACCGCTGACGCCCCATGGGGCTCGTTAGAACACCACATGGGCCCTAAATAGCCACACTAATATCTCCATAAGGGCCCCACGCCGGCTTCTGAGCGCCTCTTGCGCCTTTTCAGGGCACCTCGGTGGTCTCCAAAGGCCCGTTACTGGCCTCTGAGAGTCCTTACCGGCCTATGATGGGCCAGTTCTAGGGGCATTTCCCGCCTGTGATGGTCCCACACTTATTTTTCTGAGGGCCCCATAACGGCAACTATGGGGCCCTCATCGGCGCCTATGAGGGCCCACAGTCACACCGGTGTCTCTGAGGGTTTCACACACCCCCAACTCTGAGTGCCTACACCAAACCTATTAAAATTAAGCCCTGTATCGGCGGCTCTGAGGACCCAACCAACACCTGTGCATCTGAAGGCCACCCACTGGTGACTTAGGGTCCCACACCGGTGAGTCTGAGGGCCCCACCGGCGTCTGACAGTACCATGCCGGTCTCTAAGGACCCCACAGGACTTCTTCTGCCGGCCTAAGGACCCCTTGCCGGTCACTGAGACCCCTGCCGGTTTGTAGAGAGTTCACGTCAGCAGCTCTAAAGCCCCCACACCCGTCTGTAACGGCTCCACACCAGCGTCTATGAGGGCCCACAGCAACGCCTGTAAGGACCCTCATCGGCGCCTCTGAGAGAATCACACTAGCACCTCTGAGCGCCCACACCGGCACCTGCATGACGGCACCACACTGGTGCCTCTAAAGGCCCCTTACCAGCGGCTCTGAGCGCCCTACGCCGGTGATTCTGAGGGTGCTGCCGATAACCGAAGGTACCACATAAGCCCTTAGTGTCGCTGAGCTTTAATCCCATACCGGCCCTCTAATGTATTCCATGCATCCCATCCCATACCGAGGGCGCCACGTCAGTGCACTCATTGCCCCACACCCCTCCCTCACACCCGGAGCGGGTAAACTGTGTTATACCTATAGCAACGATTTTACCACTGTTGTACGTTATGCATTTCTCAAAGTTGACTCAAAATGGTCCAGTATAAAACTGGCCTGCCAAGCTTATGGCCAAGGTCAGGCCCAAATCAAAGTGGGATGACAATAGCAGATGTTGTCATATCGATACTGTATCAGCAGAAACCATTCAGATGGCAAGAAAAATGCCGTGTGTTGATGTTTAGATGTTTAAAGGAAACAAGAAGGAAAGAAGTCCGGAAAAGGGAGGAAAACCTTTTCTCGCTACCTCAATGTTGAGGGGGCGCCGCCCCCTCGGCTCCCAAGTTGGGGGGGGGGCAAGCGCCCCCGCTGCCCCCCCTGTTCCCGGGTCTATGACTCCTACATACCATGTTGCCTACGGGGCAAGCCGCTGCCTGTTGGCAAAAAAAAAACGCGTACAACGTCTGTCATTCATTCAGCGCATAAGTCATGTAGCGATAGAAGGCAGACAAGAAAAGGCCTGGGTTTTGGAAACGACTACCATTTTTTACGTGTACCTTGGATAGTAATGCGTGCATCTTTAGGCAGTACCATTAGTACCCCGTATAGCAACTGCTTTCGCGGAGGTTTTTTTTACCACGCTAACCACAATGCCTTGAAATAACGTCATTGATCGAGATATAGAATGCCCACATAGTACACAACTGCACATATTGACACTGACACGGACCGGTCACTGGAACTCACGTGCGCAATGCCCCACTGCTACACTGAAGGCGATGTCCGCAGTTATCGGAGAGTGACTGAAAAGCATGTATTTTATCAGATACAACGTAGCTTCTGTGCATCGAATCGACTCTTATCTGTGTAATATGATCGTTAAGTTTTCGTGTATCTGAATGTTTTCGAGTGCTTTTCTTTAATGAAAGCGATCTCTCTCACCAGATCGCTGATTTCGGCATGTGCAAGGAAGGCATCGAGGGCAACAAGACGACAAAGACCTTCTGCGGCACACCGGACTACATCGCACCTGAGGTAAGCAGCTGTCAATGGGATTACATGCAATGGGATTGACACCCACCATTATCTGTGACGGTATTTCAGTTCACATGCTGACACGCTTTTTAACCAGAAAAAGTCGGGAATCGTACCGATAATGTACGCTGACATACGCCGAATCGTTATTCGGGCCTTAGGCCTGACATAGTATCGAGAAAAGGGTCACAGTGCAAAGGTCATTTGGGTCATGGGCCCGCATTTTCAGGGTATGCGTAAAATTGATTATCTCGAGGGTACTAAATGTTCGTCTTGGCTCCTATGATTTTTTCGCGATTTTTTTTTGGAAAGAGAAAAACGAGCGGGGTCTGTTCGTGCTTCAAATGTTTAAAGTGCCATGACTACTTAATCGCATCAAGCTGAAAAAGAAAAGCTTCATAAAATGAATAGCCTTAAAACGTGTTCAGGTTTAGACTGCTTAGAATCGACATCTTAGCTAGGATCCTGCGGGCCTTCTCATGTTGGCTACGAATGCATTGAGCACATGATGAAATCATTGAAATCATCAGTGAGCACATGATGAAATTCAATCATGCAATGAACTCGGAAAGCCTCAACATTCCAAGTACCTGGTCGTGCGCCATTGGACGATCCATGCTGCCTTTGGCAGGAGATATTGGACCTCCATTAAACTTTTCCGAGAGCCTGACGAAACGGGCTGCCAGTCGAGTGATCTTTTCGAGGTGAAATGCGTCATTGAATATGACCCGAGGCGGTGTCGGCTGGGGCTGTGGGCGATGTCTGGCGAACGGCTCGTCATTCGGGGGCGCTGGGGAGGACTGGCGCGGCCGATATCGGGCGTATGGGCGGCGACGGGAGTGGGGTGAGAGAGGGGGAGCGAGGCGGGAGTCAGTCGTTGTATGACGCCATTTATTGAGTTGGTGTCTGGGCCGGAAACAAGAGACCTAGGCTGGCGGCGTATTGGTTCCTTCGCACGCATGTTCGTCAGAAACTTTTATGCTTTAAAAGCCTGGAAACATTAATTGGTTTATGAGAGAGGTTGTATATGTGTACTAGCAAACTGAATGAATACCTAACCTTTAGCCTGACATAGGCTCTCATCGTCTTATTCCTCTTTTTTCTTATTTTGGGCACAAAAAAGCAGCAGAGAATGTGCAAACTTTAAGTTCTATTGAATTGTATTGCTAAGCTTATTGAGGCCCATGCTAAGTATGTGATATATGAGGAAGGGAACCCAAAGCCTTAAGATAACGAGATCCTGCTCCTCAGCTCCCCAAATAATTACACCTCTCGCTTTAGGCTTACTTTCCTGAATGTAATTCGAATCTCTTATGTGGAATGGAACTGTCTATGACATACCAGTCAGTGGAATTAGCATACTTAAGCTGCGATAATGGTCCGACCAACCCGCCGACTGTGTTTGGTGAGCCATCCAGCGTGCTTAGACTCGGCCTTCTCAGATAGGCATTAGAGTTCTGATTTGCTGTGTAGTGTAGGTCTCCCTTTTCGTTCCATTCCGGTCGCTTCCCCCTCTCTTCTCCCTCTCTTCTCCCCCCTCTCTCTCTCTCTCTCTCACTCTCCCTCTCTCTCTCTCTCTCTCTCTCTCTCTCCTCCCTCCCTCTCCCTGTCCCTCTCCCTCTCCCTCTCCCTCTCCCTCTCCCTCTCCCTCTCTCTCTCACCATCCGCTCTCTCTCCGTCAGATCATCATGTACCAGCCGTACGGCAAGTCGGTGGACTGGTGGGCCTACGGCGTCCTCCTCTATGAGATGCTGGTCGGCCAGCCGCCCTTCGACGGCGAGGACGAGGAAGAGCTCTTCGCCGCCATCAAGGACCACAACGTCTCCTATCCAAAGTGTATCAGCAAGGAGGCCAAGGAACTATGCAAGGGGGTAAGTCCAACGCAGAAGGAGAAAAGCCGTACTTTAGGAGAAGGGTCGCTTTTGAGGGGATAAGCTTACAACACCTGATGGAAGTCCGCCTGGCTTCCATCCCGTCCCCCTCTCCCTCTCTACATCACTACATCATTTCTGAAGCCAGTTGATACCAGGGCAATTCCGAACGCTCCTCATTCTTCCATAGAACTGTAAATTGTATGCAACGGTGTTCACTTTTCTGTCGACGATGCTGACATTGTTACGTTTTTAATACTGCATAATGCCATTGCCTATATTGCATGCATCACTGGCGTGTTCTACGTTCTACCGATTGTTCGGACATTGCTGAGGTATCCTATACTCTGTCGATACTGTTAACATTATTGACGTGTTCACCACCCTGCTAATGATGCTGACGCTGCTCACACCTGCCGACAGCTGCTGACCAAGCAGCCGTCCAAGCGGCTGGGCTGCTCGCCGACCGGCGAGGCCGACATCCGCGACCACCCGTTCTTCCGGCGAATCGACTGGGAGAAGATAGAGTCCCGGGAGCTGCAGCCGCCCTTCAAACCGCGTATCGTGAGTACGGGGTGCAGCGGCCGCGTGCCGCCGGTACTAACAGACGGGGTGCAGCAGCCGCGTGCCACCGGTACTAACAGACGGGGGAGGACCAGTCGGGCGGGGGGACTGCGCGCTCAGCTGCGCCGGGCCGCCGCGTGGGTCACTGCTCTGACCTCTCACCCTTGCAGTTGTTACCGACTCAGTCGACAGCACTAAATCGGATGCATTTATTTCAATATAATTTTGCAGTTTTATGATGTCTATTAAAAATTTGATAAATTTGTCAGTACTGCTATGTAAAATGCGTGGTAAGATTTTTCTTTCTTCTCGTTTTTCATATGAACCCTTATGGCTTTTGCCGTTAACTGGGTCTGCTTTTTCTCCGGCTCAGTGTGGTGGTGGCTTCGGTTCTTTCCACGGTTTTTGCCATGGTTTTATCATTTCCTCTGGTTTGGCCGGCTTCTGGGGTGCTTGGTTCGGTTTATCAGCTAAGGGGCTTCTGCGATTTCTTCCGCTTGATTGCTATTCGGACACCGTCTGCCTCGTCCATTCCTTACCCCTTTTTAAATGACATTGCAATTTTTGCATATTTTCTGGGTGTGCTTATTTTTATATTTTATGGGAATGTTATTTTTATGACGTCTCTTTATCTAACCGTACTGATGAAATATGTACCGTAGTTGAAGCCCTTCTTTCTAAGCAAACCCATTCAAGTGTGTTTTCAGTCTGATCAGCCATGGCTGACCCACGGACAGAGAAATATGAGACTAATCTGCTCCCTGTGAGGCCGGTGTCTACCCATAGCATAAACCGCATTCATTCCCCATATGTGTTAACAGAATGAAGCTGCTCCAATCCCCAGTTTCCCTGCAATCCTGGCTTTCTACAGGAACAGATGTATAGACAAATAAGCGGTATACTCGGGCTATCTCAGTACGCTTCCATAATCTGAACGATAACGGATGGGATTCGTGAACTCATCCTGCAACTCCAGCTGCAACAAAGGCGGCTGATTTAAGTCCGTGCCATGGTTTTATAACTATTGCCGGTGGGACTGCCCTTTAGACCCGGGCTGCCCCTTCCCTCTCCCCCTCGGACGGACGCTGGTGGTGACGGGTGGTCTGTTTACCCCCCCCCCCCCCCTCACCCTGCCCCCACTGATGCTGCCAATTACGGCTGAATGGTGGCCATCCATCGCAGTTAGCTGGGCCGTGTGCCGGGGCCGGGGCCGGGGCTGGTCCGTACACAAACACAGCGATCTCGGCACTGACCGCGTGACAGATTAACTGGAAAACGCCCCGTGATTCTGGAGTGGCACATTGTCAGAGAGTGTACCGGGATATGTAAAATCCATGGTCAACTAAGACCATAACTTATTGAAATACCCATTAGAACTGGCAACAATTTTACACAACTCAAGCTCAAAGGCTGTTTCCAACAGTTTGGCTGATCCAACGGTATGCGTGGTGGTTGAAATGGGAACGACTTATTTTTTAATCCCCATTTCAACTTTAGCTTGTGTGAGATGCCAGCTCAACTAAAAAAATGCTCGCGTTCAATCCATCGGCCAGGGTCACATACTTTGATGGAGCTCGCTTTGTCTGCGATTGGTGTAAAATTTGCACATGCAATGTTTAGTGCGTATCGACGAACACTCATGACAAACCTCGAAGACTGATTAGAATTACTTCAGATAAATCGGCGCAGCATATTTTGAACTGTTGCTGATTTATTTTGAAATGCGATAAACAATGTTCAAAAAATGAATTTTTCGTCCATAATCCTCGTTGGTACAAGCCATTCAGCATCCGTCGACGTGAGCAAGGCTACGACCTATCAGTTTTAGAACTGAGCTAGAATTATGTACCAAATTTACGGGCTGTTAGCGGCTACTATTAGACATTTTTGCAAAGCGTTTGTTTATGTTCCCGGCCAGCTGAATTTAATCGTCGCACCGCTTGAAACTCGTTTGTAACTTTGCCATCGCCGGGCTCAGGGTGCTAACCTTTCCGCTATTCACCCTGCTCGCCGGTGCAGCATACTTTCAGGCGCTTTTGCTAGCGCCATCTGTGCGCGAGGTTGCTCATCATTTCAAAACCTTGACGATAGATGGCACCAGTAGTGAACGCCTGAATGTATGCTGCACCGCAGGTCCTCTTGTACCCTACTGGACGCGAGACTGAGTTGCGTTTTTGTTGGCGGTAAAAATGGCTTATATTATTTTTTAGCTTTTAAACATAGATTCAGACGGCTGTTTTCGGGATGGCGAATGCGCTTGCAAATAAATTACATGATAGGTATTAAGTTACCCTCTATCACCTTTCGATGTTAGGCATCATACTTTATACTATATACATAAGCCAGTGTCTACGCTCGGAACTGTTTAAATTAAGCATATCCTAACTTATCCCAGGACTGCAAATTACTAAACTGAAATAAATCAGTTGTAGAGTCGGCCCACAAAAGATAAGCAACGGACTTGTCGAGAGCATGTGATTGTGCCCCCTGCTTACTAAGAAAAGTTTCCCGTGAGGAAACATCCCTATATACCTATGTCGGGCAAAGATATCCTCCAGTCGCTTCGTGAACCCATGTCACTTTTTAATGCCGGTAGTGAGATATGGAAATGTTGAACTGCATCGGCCACCTTCATCAAAGTGCCGAACTGAACTACTAAGGGTTGTGAGAGCAAATGCGAGATTTTAGTTTACTTTCCCACTAAAACAAATAAAATCACTTATCGAGGACATTCATCAACTTATAGCTGTGCTGGTGCATGTTTAACCATATAGCTATGTATTCGTTCTCCGAAGAAATGCAAGATTTTACAAAGGTTGATGCCCACGTACCTCAACTGAACAAGAAAGCAGCATTCCCTCCTCGCCCCTGCCCACGAAGGAAACCCGCTGAACTCTGGGGACTAGAAGGTTAATCCTGGAATCCTTACCCGTCAGTCCTGCCTGCTTCTGATGCCTGCCACTGCTAGCGCACTCTGCACCCGCTTCGCATGTCATAATAGCATAGCCAGCTAACATCAACCGCATGCTAATCACAGTGTTATGCTTTTAAATTTGACTTTCGTGCATGTCTTCCATTTTGCTTATTGCATGTATTGCTCCTCTAAAATCATGGCATGTATTATTTCATAAATGTTACTTGAAACATCGTTTTACTCTAAATAATGAGCTATATGATTGTTTCTTTCTATTATCGACATTGTCGCTTATCTTTGTTGTTTACGAGTATTTTGCATTTTGTTGAACGATATGTTTATCTTTTTTAACGAACTGTTAACTTTAACACAGATGTGCACATTTATCAGTTAAGTGCTGATCTATCATTTTAACGTAAAATGAAATTATAGCAGAAGTGCCTGTGTGCTGTCCTAGTCTGTGAATATTGCACAAAAACTGCGTTGCATGAATAGTGTCACGGACACCTGTTCACATTTTATGATGCTGCAGTTTTGACCTATTCAAAATGTGTTAACACATCAAAATTGATTGCATGATTGCGGCAGACTCATCAACCACTTTCTTCTTTGTGATAATTTCGATCACAAAAATGATAATATTTTTGTTAAAGTCATTTCTAACATTAACGTCAATATTTCAATAACACATGGTTTTATCGCTTTTCTTTCTTCTGTATACTCCAATCGCAGTCATGTGCAAAGTTTTTTAATCAGCTATTGTGACACTTCAAACGTTTGGGCAACTGTGCCGCGCCTGACGCCAAATTGGCCATCTTTTTTACCGGCCCTGCGTGCATCAGCCGCGGTCGTTATAGTAATGCCGTAACATACAGTATGTCACCGCATTTAGATCTGTTTTTTATGGAACGCAGAGTGCAAATGATTCACGCAGTTGGCTGCAGCACGTGCACACGGTACTGAGAGCGTCGCCTGTGTCGGCATTGCACTGTAGTCACACCAGTGTAGCCACGACGCCCGGTCCCGGCTGGCCTGTCTGCTGACCTGTCTGTGGACGCTGTTCTATCTGCTGGCCGTTGGACAGTGGTAAGACTGTTCACTGGCTAGGCCAATGGACAGTGTCGGACAATCTGTCTTCTGGCCAATGAACAGCGGAGACCGCTCTGTTCACTGAACATGGGACGGTAGCAGGCCAGTCTTGTCCGCTGTCCATTGGCCAGTGGTAAGACAGTCCTGTCTGCTGTCCATTGGCAAATGGTAAGACAGCCCTGTCCGCTGTCCACCGGTCAGTGGTAAGACAGTGATGTCCGCTGTCCATTGGCCAATGGTAAGACAGTGATGTCCGCTGTCCACCGGTAAGTGGTAAGACAGTGATGTCCGCTGTCCATTGGCCAATGGTAAGACAGTGCTGTCCGCTCCACCGGTAAGTGGTAAGACAGTGCTGTCCGCTGCCCATTGGTCAATGGTAAGACAGTCTTGTCCGCTGTCCATTGGCCAGTGGTAACACAGTCCTGTTTGCTGTCCACCGGCCAGCGATAAGACAGTCCTGTCCGCTAGCCGTCAGGTCTCAGACAGCGTCCAGCCGGGACCGGCAGCCACCCCGCCAGTCCGCCACCGCCCCCTAACCCCGCCCCCTCTCTGTCTGGCCCGTTTCCAGAAAAGTCCCCGCTCCGGGGAGAACTTCGACCCCGTGTTCCGAAATGCCAGAACGGACCTCAGTCCAGCAGACAGCAGCATCATCCGGCACATTGGCTCGCATGTGTTCAAGGGCTTTGACTTCGTCAATGCCTACTACTCTCCAGTGCAGAGTGAAACAGACCTGATCCCGGCCAAGTAAAACGTCTAGGTGTCAGCGGAGTGGCGCCGCAAGTGTCAAAGGTGTCGCCAAAAGTGTCAGAGGATCGTGCTCGTGTGATGACAGTGACCGGTGAAGCAAATCGTGGAGAGGAGAGAGCAGTGTCGAACCCGGAGAGGGAGGAGAGGAGAGGCATGGAGAGAGAGCAGCACTCGGAAGTTGGAGGAAGGTGTCAGACCACACCGCCAGAAGGACGTTCCTGCGCTCCTGCTCCTTCGCCAATGTCGCAAC